TACTAGCCTCATCCTGCCCCCTTGACCTGTCCGTCCTCCCTGGACTGACCTATCCCTTCCCTAACTCCCCACCTACACTCACCTTTACTGGCTCCATCCCCACCTCTTTGACCTGTCTCCTCTCCACTTATCTTCTCCTCTACTCATCTTCTATCCGCCTCCCCCTTTCTCCCTATTTATTTCAGAATCCCCTTCCCCTCCCCCATTTCTGAAGAAGGGTCTAGGCCCGAAACGTCAGCTTTCCTGCTCATCTGATGCTGCTTGGCCTGCTCTGTTCATCCAGCTCTACACCTTGTTATCTCAGACAAAAGAGCAACTTCAGTCAACAAAACAAGGGACATGTTCTTAGTTAGCCCAGAGTTGAGCACAAGTATTCCAGAGTGCATCAACTGATCCAATATTAAGTATTAATCCTACATAGTAATTGTGATGAAGTTAATAAATTCTGAGAAATTTTCCAAAATATGACAACCTGATGTGGTCTTGTAGTTGGTGAGGTCTGAAAGATCTTGCGATTTGTTCTCCGCCCTTAGTCTTTAATTGTAATTTCCTCAAGTCTTAGAACTAAAGTTGAATTATGCACTCTAGACCTTACAGTATTACCAATAGTTAAATATTGTCCACATATTTGATTGCTTTACATTTATTCTTCATGATCAAGGTCTCAGAGAACCTTCTGAGAGCTCGAAGGCATAATATAACACCATGCTGGAGACATTTCAATTCAGGAGCTTTAGTGTACTAAAGAAGATGGAGTCACAGTGAATTGAATGGCCCTGGTGAGGTAGGTCATCATGGACAGACAGTACTTAACAATTTGTTAGCAATTTTCTAGGATGCAAAGCTTTGACACGTATCTCCTTTCAGCAATGTTTAAAAAGCTTCATTTCTTATATTAATTCATCAGGTTCAATCATCTGTTGATATCTATTAGCTGTTCAGAGTCCACGAAAATACTCAAATGACTTCTGACAAATACAGATTTGGGCTGGATAGTAAGTCAAGTCAAGTCATCATGACAAACATGACAGAACGATCACATTAATTGCTCAGAATAGTATTTGAATGACATATTCCAGAACAGCCAAGCAGATAGAATGATGCAACGATTGTAGGATAAGCAGGAAAAGCTACTGGCACATTTAAATAGAGTCACAGAATCCCCAGAGTGTGGAAGCAGGCCATTCAACCCATCAATTCCACCATGACCCTCTGATCCACTCCCCTCCCCAATCCATCTCCCTGTATTCCTGCATTTCACATGGCTAATCCACCTGGCCTGCACATTCCTGGATACTACAGAGCAATTTAGCATGGTCAATCCACCTAACCTGCAAATCTTTGGACTCTGGGAGGAAACCCATACAGACATGGGGTGAATGTGCCAACTCCACATAGACAGTCGTCCAAGGCTGGAATTGAACATAGGTCCCTGGGGCTGTGAGGCAGCAATGCTAACTAATGAGGCACTGTGCCACTCTTAAGTATTAGTAGAAGATTCAGAATGGTGATCACTAAGTGAGTTCCACGATAGAACTGGCCTTGTTGACCCTGCAAACAGATCATTCTTGGCCACGGGGCAGACACGTGACAACATGGGTGAGTTAGAAGGTTCACCTTGATTCTCTGAAACATATCCCAGTTGTTCTGGAAACTAGAAAATTTAAGCCTTTGCATCTCTTCACACACTCCCATGGCCCACTTACAGTGCTCCAAGTTTACAGATGATACAAAACTGGCTATGATGGTGAACTGTGTGGAGGATGCAGAGATGCTTCAGTGAGATTGGCCAAATGGGAAAACACATTTCAAATGAAATACAAAGTGGACAAACGTGCGGTTATCAATTTTGGTAACAAAAACCGGGAGGCTGACTATTATCTGAATGGCAATAGGTTGGGAAATGGGGAGATGCACTGAAACCTGGCGTGTCCTTGTACACCCGCCATTGAAAGAAAGCATACAGGTGCAACAGACAGTGAAGAGACAAATGGTATGTCGACATTCCTGGAACAGAAGGACTGACATCTCAAGACAGACTGGATCAATTAGGACTACAATCACTGGGAGTTTAGAAGAAATGGGGTGGGACATGTCATAGGAACCTAGAATATTCTAATAGTACGAGACAGGGTAAACATAGGAAAAATATTCCTGATGATTGAAGAGTCCAGACCCAAGGGTCACAGTCTAAGGATATGGCGTAAATGATTTTGGACTAGATGAGAACAAATGTTTTTACCCAAAGAGTTGGGGGCTTGAAGTTGTCTGTGACAGAAAGACCAAAACATTGTTGTTTTTTTTTTTTGAAAAAGGATGGGGTTAGATATAGTTCAAGAATAAAAAAGGATCAAAAGGTATGGGAAGAAATTGAGAACAGGCTACCGAGTTGGATGATCAGCTATAATCATATTGAAAGGCACAGCAAGCTTGAAGAACCGAGCGGCCTACTCCTGCTCCTATTTTCTATGTCATTAAAAACTCATTTGATCTCAAAATTACAATGCCCAGTCACTGTGGACAGTCAGTGTGGACTATCAGGAGAAAAGGATAGACTGTTTTTTTAAATTCTAAAGGGGCTAGAAGGAGGAGCCTTAGTGAACTATCTCTTAATTAATTACTCTTGGCAAATTAGAGACAATACCACTCCCTCAACCAGAAGATCGTACCTGCAATTTCTTCTTCCTTTCTGGATCTAAAATCCACTGTTCCATTCCATTCCATTCTACCTCCCCCACCCCCCCAACACACCATCCTTATTATATTTATTGGATACAGACAACATGCATTTGTGAAAGGGAAATTGTGGTTGAACAAATCTATCAGGAATTCTGGGAGGTTGCAAAAGTAAACTAGATAAGGCGTACCAGGAGTTGTAGTCTGTTAGTTTTTTGAAATTGCATTTGATAAGTGGCAGACAGACAATAAATCATTACATAAAATTATATTTTATAAAATTAGGGATAAGTGCATGGATTGAGAACTGCATGCACTCTGGCAATGGCAATGGACTGGTTGTTCCCAGGTTGGAACTCAGCTGTTTGAACCATATCAAATGTATTTTTTCCCGTAGAGTGGGGTTGGGGGGGGGGGGGGGGGGGGGATGTTATTGAGTGCAGAAAGTGGGAAAAACAAGCTGTACTGACCACCACTTTTCCCATATTAAACAGGAATACATTTCAAAAGTACTTCACCCTCTCTACAGCTTTACATGTATCTGGTCACAGAAAACACTACCATGTAACGCATTTTGGTGCAAAATACAAATACCTTGAAATGAGAAATTACTGCTGCAAGAATCTATTGCTGGGCTGGTTGATCCAAAGGCTTGGCATTTAGGGATGACAGCCACTGAGACAATTTGATCATGGCATTCTAATTTCAAAAGCACTGTAGACAAGTGGCACTAATGTATCAAATAGCATCTTTATAAGGTAGCATTTCTGTAGTCCATCTACCTATTTAAGGTAGTACTGCTGTAGCCCATCTTCTTAAAAAACCCTAAAGAATTGCATGCCCAAAATGTGATGCTGACCACCAGCAACGTCACCCTCTAAGCCCAAGCACTAAGCCCAATTCAGTGCTGCCAAGCAATAGGATCCTTACTCTGGAGTGCTGTGAAAGCATAGGGCTCTGTTCAAACTATACTTCCATTTTCTAACACTGCTAAGAAGACAATACAGACTTCCAACTGCAGCATTTTGCATACCATCATGCAGCTGATGCCCATACATGGCATTAACACCTCTAAATATGTTTCAAAAGTAAAGTTTTAGCTAAGATTTGTAGTTCGGGTTGTGGGCGAGGTTGTTCATTTGCTCACCAAGCTGGCTTGTTTTCGTTCAGATGTTTCATCACCATGCTGGGTGACATCATCAGTGAGGCCTCCGATGAAGGCATGGTTCTCAACCAGTAATGCAATCAACAAATATGTACAATTGGACCCCATATATAAATCCATACAAATCAAAACTGGAAATGACACTACTCACCATAGGGACCAGACAGTACAAACTCCAAGCAGAGTAGAACAATATCGCTTCAGCGGAGACCTCGCTGATGATCTTACCTAGCATGGTGATGAAATGTCTGAACAAAAACAAGCCAGCTCGGCGAGCAAGTCAACAACCACATGTTTTAAAATGCCAAAATTTGGGCTTTCATGAGCAGTGACATGGAAGATCATTTAGCTTGCCCAAAGAGAATTCTTTCCTTTGATCGTGTGTAAATGCAGCATCTAAGATCACATTCAGCTAAATAAAAACAGTAAAGAGCAAACAAAAATGTGATATCTGATTAACCAATACCTACATCCACTGCTAATGTCAACGAAAGCCAAGAATGGCACTGGATTAGATTGGGCTTCCCTCCATGGTTGAATAACCTAGTATCATTCAACATCTTAATTTACACAAGACAAATGTGTACTGCTGGCACCATCAGAAAGATGATTCCTAAATAAGATGACCCTAGAACGTTAAGTTATCTCAGCTGTTTGAGCAACAGTGAAGTTAGCTTTTTCATGCCATGACTGCAGTAGCAATACGAGTGGAGCTTGCCACGAAAAGGATTTTGGTGTTAAGTGGGAAAAGTCATTCTTCCTGGAACATAACTGAGTAATATCATACATAAATTTCAAAGCTACGTATCGAAAGATGATTTTTTCTCAAAAGATTTGTGATCAAATCAAATAACAATGCATTACTGACCAAATCAAACCAATTCATTCTTGCAAAACTCCAAAATGTCCAACATTGCATTCGATTTCACAATTGGACAACATTTGCCCAGTAATCGCCTGTCTTTTAAGTATTATGCTGACAACAATTGAAAATTGCCAGTCAGGCTCACAATGTGGTGTAGTTGCATGCATTGGAAGCTAGATATCTGAATACAGGACTGTTCTTTGCAGACAAAATGTACTCTCTACTTGAGCAGTCTAAAATGTTACTACCTCGTTTAATTGGTATTCTTGCAAATGTCCTAATGCCTGCAAGACAAAAACTTAGAACAATTTTTTTTCAGCAATGCCAATGGAAGTTCTTCATGAGAAAATTTGGAAACAATATGAATTATCACCTCAGAGGTAAAGAAAAGTTTAGGAAAAAAAAGTGAAGGGATTATAGAAAACAAGTTAAAGTGAAAGCTGAATATTTCTTACATGTCTTTTTCTTCATGAGGATCTCTTCTTTCTTCTCTTCAATTTCAGGAACCTGTTCATCTGAACTGACCTTGGTTTCTGATTGTGGGATAAGGTTTTTCAGGAAATGAACAGAGCTTAGCAGAGCTTCACTGTGTAAATAAACATCCAAAGATGAAAAGTTCACCTAGATGAAAATAAAACAAACACAACTTGAACATTTCTGAAGATATCAAATAATTCTCAATAACCAACCAATCCTTTTAGTGCAACATAAAAATAAAGCTGTTCAGTTCATAAAACAGAAATCTATTTAATCTTGTTTAACACTCTTTCAGTAGTATTTTCTTCAAATATTAGTTGAAAAACAATTCAATTCCAACTCTCATAATCACATCTTAACATCTTCTTTAAGTCCAGGGTGCTAGCATCTCCCTGAATTGGAGGTACGAGTAATTGCTGTCCTGCATTCCACCAATTGCCAGAGGATGGCTTCTGACCTCCATAATCAAGTGGAAATATGGTTCAGAAGTCTACATTGTATGAGGATTGGTCATCTCAAACATCTCACATTCTTCAAGTTACTTGAGGTGCAGTGGCGGTGTTTGAAGCAGACATGCTCCATTAGCAGTGATCTCACCAGACGATGGAAATTGGCGTTATGCTGATGGAATTTCACACGTGCAAGAGTCAGTAATTTTTAAAATGTTGTTTGTATTTCCTGTGATCATGTGTCAATTTAAATACTCAATGTAGGAAATTAATACTGGCCTTGAGAGTTCTGGCTTTAAGTTTAATAGGGCAGAGATGATAGAGAATATTGCTGAATTATTTTAATTCTTTTTCTGTAAGAGTAGCAATGCCAAATATGTCAACATAGGTACAGAAAGAAATGTTAGAACCAAAGTACAAAACTTTAAAAAAAATCAAAGAGTCGTCCCTGAAAAACAAAAAATAAGACCCAGCAAAAGTCTCAAATTAGACTCCTGGTGACTATACCTTCCATTGTGTTACTGGGATTCTTGACTCAAAGTAGGCCATGGCGCATGAGATGGATGTATGGTATCCCTGATTGAAAGGAACGTGTTTTCTGCTAACTATGCTAGTTACTGGCCAACAAACCCTGCGTACAGAAACTTCTGCCCATGAGGATTTTCCTGAACACTAGAAATTGGAATTGATAACTGTTGTCCCTTTTTCTATGGAAACTAAGTGATTTCTTTTTTATTTGAACACAAGATGTATTCACATCAAGTTTAATGCAAGCAAATCAAAGCAAAACAAATGTAAAGTGCACCAACTAGAGACAGGTTTCTGGATTTGAGGTTTCCACTGGGTTGTATGGATTTTTTTTAAGCAAAACGTGCCTAATCAACTGTGCCAGTGCAAAATTCAGAAGATGGAAGAAATACGCAAGCACGATATTAGTAACTTGTCACTAAATGCAGCTTGAAACAGTGAGCACTAGGGAATTCGGTGAATGAAGGAATTTCAAGACTTAATCTCTTTCTAAAATTTAGATTAGTTTGTGCTTAACTATAATTTATTGGAGTTTCTTTTCAAATTAGTCAGGAATAAACTCCCTACTGGAAAGGCAACTACAGTCAGTTCATGAAATAGCTTTGGAAATTGGGGCCCCTTTAAACTAAATTTGTCTCATGTTGCCTGTGGAGCATGAGACTTCACGGAATGGCTGCTATAGCAGCTCCTTCCCTCCCAAATAACGTTTTAAACGCAGTCTAAAGGCAAATTAAAGCTAATGTTATAAAGGTAGCCAGGCCACTGATGCCTCATCACTCAATATGCTTAGCAGAAACAAAAATCTGTTGATAGGGCAAATGGAAACTGAAAACAGACCTTACAATGGAAGTGGGTATGGAGAAATAGTTATTATGACATCATGAGGACATCATGCGCACACTGACTAAAAAGGATTCAGACACATTACAAAGTAGATTCCCCACCACAAAAACAGGATTTAATCAACAAGTTCTGAGTCAGAAGGCAGGCCTTGTAGGAGCAGTCCTCTTTACGTAAAAGACAAAAGGAGAAATTGAGCTAGGAGATCCCCATCATTTCAGCTAGAGAACAGTTTGCAGCCTTCACAACTTTAATGAAGTGACACACTCCATATCAACCGCCCATTTGTTCTCTGGTATCAGTCAACCATCATCAAATGTCATGGGTCGTACTGTTTTCATCTAATTAACTAGTGCATATCTAAACAGTTTAAAATTCCTTAGTGTGATTTGTGAATTGTCACCCACCTAAATTAGGGAACTGTGGTCATGACCTACCTAACCTAATAACTGTTCACTAGAACTGCATTCTCGAACCAACAGTGCTAACTCATTTTCACAGAATTTCATCTAGCATACCCTAAATGCACAAAATAAACAAATCACAAAGATAGCAGCTTGTCAATGAATACAGCTTGAAAACAGATGAGACATTGGCAATTTGGTGTAGTGAAGGAGGATAGTTTATCAAAAAAAGGGTCAAGAGAGGGGAGCTTGATATTAACAGGTGAATTTCAATTTTGAAACTCAGAAGCATTGTTAGGTAAGCAGATAGCTGAGCTTCAAGCTTTCTTTTCTTTAAATAGGGTCAGTAGTTTAAACTGGTACTGGGGAGATTACAAGATTAAATACAAAGCTTAACTATTTTAAATACATCATTTAACTATAGATGATCATGAAGTCATATTTCTAAACTTAATTAGCTAAATAGAACACATTAAAGATGGCAAGCTAGGCTCTATATTGCAGTTGTAGTACGACAGCCCAAGAGAACATCTGCCTGATCCACAGCAATCACTTCTGCAGCAAGAATCTGTATCTCAAGGAGGTTAAGCTTAGGGCTGATGAGCTGGAACCTGAACATTACACATAGCAAAGCATCACAGAAATACGCTCATGATCAGAGTTTCCCAATTTAGGTAGATGACCATTTACAAATCATGCTGTAAAATATTTTCAGAGTTTATTAGGGTTAAGCAGCAGATTAGATTTATGTTAGTTAGACAAAAAATGTTCATCTTTAAAAGCAATGATACAACACAACAGGATGAGCAGCTCATTTGATTTCATTTATTACTGTCTCATGTACGGAGATAGTGAAAAGTTTTGTTTTGTGTAACCAGACAAATCATGCCTTACATTAGTATATCAGGGTAATAAGACAGAATGCAGAATATACTGTTACAGCTACAGAGAAGTTGCAGAGAAAGATCAACTCTAACGTGGGAGGGGAGCATTCATAAGTCTGATGACATTGGGAAAGAAGCTGTTTTTAAATCTGTTGGTACGTGTTTTCAAACTTTTGTATCTTCTGCCCAATGGAAGACAGTGGAAGAGAGTATAACAATGGTGGGAGGGGTCACTGATTTTATTAGCTGCTTTTCCGAGAAAGTGGGAAGTGTAGATGGGAGTCAAAAGGAAGGAAGACAGGTTTTCATGATGGACTGGGCTCCGCTCACAAATTCCTGCAATTTCTTGCTGTCTTGGGCAGAGTAGTTTCACACCAAGTGGTGATGCATCCGGATAGGATGCTTTCTATGGTGCATCTATAAAAATCGCTAAGAGTTATTCCAGACATGCCAAATTCCTTAGCCTTCTGAGGAAGTAGAAGCATTATTGTGCTTTCTTGTCTGAGTAGTAGACTTGGATGGACGAGGATAGGTTATTGGTGATATTTACTCCCAGGAACTTGAAGCTCTTGACCACCTCCACCTCAGCACCACTGACTTGGGCATGTTCTCCACTCAGCTTCTTGAAGTTAATGTCCAGCTCCTTTCTTTTGATGATATTGAGGAAGAGATTGTTATCCTTACACCATGTCAATAAGCTGTCTCTTTCCTGTACTCTACCTTGTCGTTGTTTGAGATTCCAACCCACAATGGCGGTGTCATCAGCAAATTTGTACATGTTGTTAGAGCTGAATTTTATCCCAGTCATGAGTGTATAAGGAGTATAGTAAGGGGCTGAGTATGCACTCTTGCAGGGCACCAGTGTTGAGGATTATTGTGGAGGAGGTGTTGTTGCCTATCCTTACTGATTCCAGTCTGCAGGTCAGGAAGTCAAGGATCCAGTCGCAAAGTGGGGAGCAGAAACCTAGGATTCAGCCTTTGGAGATTCGTTCTGTTGGAATTATGGTATTGAAGGTGGAGCAAAAGCCAATGAACAGCAATCTGTCATTGTGTCCATGTTATCCAGATGTTCTAGGGATGAGTATAGGGCCAGGAAGATGGTGTCTGCTGTGAACATATTGTGATGGTAATTCTATGATTCTGAGGCAGCAATAGACCTGGGATCCTGCCAGCAATGAGCATAATGTTTGTAATTTGAGCAACAGATCTAGTAAAAGATCTCCTCTTCTGCCAGTTTGAACCCATGACAGGTCCTGCGCTCTTCCATCTGTAAAATCATTGCTACCCAAGTACATTTTTGAAACTAGAATGAAAACTAGTCATTTCCTAACTCTATATGCACTTGATAAAGCAGTCTGAAGCACGAGCTAACCAAGTTAATTCCTTCCTTTATTTGTCACAAAAGTGAGTTGTGTAAAGCATGCAATAGTGCAAGCATTACAACTCTGCAAGGCTCAACAGTCAAGCACACCTCAGTGCAAAGAGCCAAGATAATTGTAGAAACAAACTTTGATTCCTTAAAAGAAAAATCAGTCATTGGCAGAAAATGCAACTATGTTCATTGATACCTTGACGATAAATAAAAATACATTTCTATGTTTTGAAGTGACTGATGGCATGCTACTCCCCAGCTTGCAGTTTCTTCACCTAGTAAGCTATAAATAGTATTCTGGTTGTTTCAGTTAGCTGTGATAAATAAAATCTATTAAGTAGTCCTGCGAACTCTTTTACCTTTATGAGTTGTTCTGTGTTTCTATAGGTGGTTTTGAATTCCGGTCCATCTTTGTTAGCCTGGAAAAGAAAGGATTATCAGCTTCTCTCTTTTTGTGGAACAAGCACTGATTGATTTATTATAGTTTTGAGTATGCCATTCAATGTAGTGAGCTAAGGCAGTTAGGACTTCACAAAGCCAGTTCACCATCCACTTCTAAAGAGCAAATAGGGATGAGTAATAAATACCAGCCCAGCCAGCAATATCCACAATCCCATGAATGAAGAAACTCTCCTATAAAAATGACTAAAAGAAGTCAGCAATGCCAAGTTCATGAACTTGGCAAGTTTAATCATTACATATTCAAATTTGATAATGTGATGTTACTTTCTTTGGATAAAAGTAGTGTGGAATAAAGAGCTGATTATTAGGTGATTCAAATAAATTGCAAAAAAGATTCCGTCGCTGATAAAACTACAGAAATACTTAAAATTAGTTTGAAAGTTCTCCTAAAAATGGGCAAGAGGTAACTAAGTGTTTTGACAGAGTTGACAGAGAGAGGACAGATGGGCTCATAGGGCATTTGTAACAAAATACATGTGACAATAAATAAAGCCAAACAAACTGGAGTACATCAGCATAAGATAGTTGCTATGAACTGCAATGGGGACACAAGTATATGAAGGGGATACAACATTATGATGTTAGATATAGAAGATGAAGAAAACTCAAGGGCAGGATTGATGTTGGCAGGATTTGAGCATAAACAGCTGGTTTCAGTGCTGCACAGCAAATGTACCCCTTATGAAATCAAAGGCTCTCTTTTGGTAAAAATGCCAAATCCTTCCAATATAAGGTTCTTGCCTAGCCACAACACTGAACCAGCTCTCAAAAATCAAAAGTTATATCCTATTTAACTGTTCCAAAGATAAACTATCCCTGCTCATTATACTCAACTTATCTGTGGCTTCTTACACCTTTGATATCATCCTGCTCCAACACTTTGCCACCGTCGTTCAGCCACATGAGACTGCTCTTCCCTGGCTCTTGTTTTTATTTACTCATGCATGTGGGCATCACTGGCTGGGCCAACATTTGTTGCACATCCCTAGTTGACACGAACCACTGCAGTCCACGTCCATTCTCATCTAATTTAATCATAACCAGAGTAATGCAATGGTTTCTCTTTCTGCTCCCACACCATTATTTATAGCACGCACCAAGGATTTATCCCCGGCACCCTCCTCTTCACATACACACGCTGTCCCTTAACAATATTACCCAAAATCACAATTTTTTTTCATTTGTTGACAGACAACACCCTTCCAAACCTCAACGCTGCTCAAACATAAAAAGGTAAATACTGCAGATGCTGGAAATCTGAAATGAAACCAGGAACATTGGGAATTTATAGATCTAGCAGTGTCTGTGAAGTGCAGGACAGAGTTCATGAAAAGGGAAACACCTCAGGTTCTCAGATCACTCTACAAAGCAAGTCCTTCATTTCGAATGCCATTCTGTTCAAAGGTCAGCAAACTGAAACAACCAATGTTTCTCTCTTTACAGATGCTACTTCTGGAGTATTTCCCTCCTAACTTCTAATCTCTACCAATCACAAAAATCTTCAAAGATTTCCCACTCATCTAATACTAGTTTCTTGAGCCTGTCTGATTTTAATCATCCTACCATTGATCATTGAGTTTTCATTTGACCGGGTCCCAGACTGTAGAATTCCTCCTCTAGAACTCTCTACTCTCCTTCATTGAATGCAACTATGTTCATTGATACACAAAAATGTACTTAGGTAGCAATGATTTTACAGATGGAAGAGCACAGGGGCTGTCATGGGTTCAAACTGGCAGAAGAGGAGATCTTTTACTCGATCTGTTGCTCAAATTACAAACATTATGCTCATTGCTGGCAGGATCCCAGGTCTATTGCTACCTTAGAATCATTTCTTAAAATTTACTTTTTGGACTAAGGTTGGGTCATGAGATCATATTTTGTGGGGTCTGGTGTCATACTGTTTCATAATATCTCCTGTGAAATATTTTGGGTTGTTTTATGTGAAAGATGCTGTATAATTTTAAGTTGTTCTTCTCTTCTCTATACTCGGCGCACCTGCGACTGTCTCTAGTTACATAGTTTGCCTGTTTCTGTAAACCTGACATCCAATGCCTCTCACATACCATCTACCTTTCTGTTCATACCTTCCTTCTCTTCATTCTACATCACTCTCTCCTTTTTTCAGTTTCCCAGGAAACTCTGCAGGCTTGGAATGTCCATGATAGTCATATTAACATTCCTTTACTCTTTGGGTAAAAAGATCCATAGCTATCTTCTCGGGATTAGAAAATTCTGAAATATGTTTCAAAATATTCTAATAAGAGCACAGAAGTTTAATTATGAATAAGGAGAAAGCTTCCTCCTCCTCATCATCAAAATCACTAAGCAGGATTGGGGAAAAAAATGGTCTTCGATAATTGTAACAGAGATAGTAG